GTTTTATAAGCTCGGGTATTTCTAGCGTATCTTGGACTACTCTAGACTGCGCCACCAACAGTGACCACTTACCAGTACTGTTTGAAATTTCTTGCCCCATTATTCCATCTTACTCCCAAGCTCGAACCTTTATCAATTATTCCAAATTTAAAATGACCTAGAAGTTGCTTTGACTACCCCCACTGAAGACAACGATGAAAATAAAGCCATGAAATTAAGTGCGGTAATTAAAAGAACGTTCAAAAAAGCAGAATTTTCTATTGAGTCTGATACGAGAAAGCCTTGTAGCCAGTGGTGGAATTCTGAGTGCTCTCGTGATCATAGACGACGACAAGCGGCTTGGAAGCAGCTAATTCATAATCAGTCCCCCAAAAATTGGGCAGATTACAAGTTTATTGCTGCTACATTTAAGCGCACCGTGGCTAAAGCTAAAGAAGACTATGACAAAAAACATTTCGACTTTCTTTCCAAACCTAGAAATAAGAAAGCGTTATTCCGATATATGAGATCGCGCAAAATTCTGCCGTCTCTAGCTAACTCTGATTATGACAGGTTATCGACGGAAGAAATGACTAATTCGTTAGAGGCAATAGGAAGAGGTTTAGCTAACAGATTTTCGTCGACTTTGACAATCAACTGGCAAAAGTCCTCTATAAAGACTGACTACGAAAAAGTGACATTGTCCGAAATGTCAAGCGTAATTAGAAACTTACCCTCTTCGGCTCCTGGTCCTGACGGTATAACAGTTCCTATGATTAAAATTTTATTCCAGATATCACCCGGCGACGTCCTCAACCTTATAAACTATTCCTTAAGCAATGCCTGGATACCACATGACTGGAAAATAGCTAGAGTGATTCCCATATTAAAAAAACAAGGGTCAGGTTTTAACATTGACAACATCAGACCAATCTCTCTAACATCTCACCTGATCAAAATTATAGAGAGAGTTCTCAATAATAGAATAAAAGTTTGGATGGCTGACAAGCTAATATTGAAACCATTTCAAATAGGTTTTCGTAGCGAATGCTCAATTTGGTGTGCTCATGCCGACTTAGAGAGCCGAATACAGCTTGCCCGAAAAAGACGACAATACGCGGTACTAGTAACACTAGACATAGCTAAAGCTTATGATAGCGTTGAGCACTCAATTTTATTGAATTCTTTACACGAATGTGACTTTCCGCGTTATATTGTTGATTGGGTAGCAGAGTTTCTAAAATCGAGAGAATTTTATTGCGCAAAGGATGGATGTCACTCATCTAAATTCAAACAGCAACGTGGAGTACCTCAAGGGCGGTCCTATCTCCGCTGTTATTCAATGTGTTGATGAGCTCAATTCCCATTGAACGAGATATCACTGTCTACATTTATGCAGACGACATTGCATTTTTCGTTGCAGATAGTGACATTTATTCTTTGCATCAAAAATTGCAAAAGTACATGTATTCTCTTGAAATTTGGCTGCATTCAATTTCATTGTCTCTAAACATCAGTAAAAGTGCGCTCCTGGTGTTCCCTATAGCAGATTCTATTCAAATTTCAGTACTTTATAATCAGGAACCGATTCCACAAGTAGAGTCTATCAAATATTTGGGCATTATTTATAACGAGAAACTTAACTGGAGCCCTCACATAGACTATAACGTGGCAAAGGCACAACGAGCTTCAGGCTTATTGCGAAGGTTGAGCAACAGAAAATATGGGTTACGTAGACACACCTTATTAATGATATATAAAATGTACATGCGCCCAATACTCGAATTTGGGTGTATATTATTTTCGGGTGGCCCTACGTACAAAATTAAACCGTTAGTTCTATTAGAGCGAGAAGCGTTACGGTTGTGTTTGCGACTCCCCAGGTATGTCGCTATTAATGTACTATATCAGGAAGCTCGCATACCAACTATTCTTTGCCGATTCCGTATCTTAACAGTACAAACATACTTGAAATTTTACGGCTTATCAGCGAGACGGTCTGCATATGCCTTTATTAGTGACCCCGACGCCTTCTTCCTCGCTCACTGGCCACGCTTTCGTACTCCCCAGATTATTTTTGTACAAAAGAAACTTGAAAGCATAAAGGTGGATATCAGATCGGTAATTGGAACCAAAGCATTAAATCACAATATTACGATAGAATGTGATGAACTTTTTCCCCCACTATCTAAGTTTCAATCTTCGAGTTACTTAAATGACAGGTTAGAAGACTACATAGCTCATGCGGAAATAAAGAACATAATAGCCACAGACGCTTCTGTGAATAAAGAAAAGGCAGCAGTAGGAATCGTCTCAGATTACCTCGGTTGGTCATTCTCGGTAAGACTACCAGACTTCACTCCGGTTTTCGAAGCTGAGCTCCTGGCTATTATTTTAGCGCTACGAAAACTTCCTTCAAACGAAGAGAGTGCAATGATAATTACTGATTCTCTTTCGCTGTGTACTACTCTCACAGCTTCAGAACAATCAAGAGCTCTAGCGACATTACAAACATTAGTTCCACCTCATGTGAAGTTCCTGAAGTTAGTCTGGGTCCCGGGACACTGTGGCATACGGTTGAATGAAATAGCCGATTCACTATCTCGAGCCACACTTGATGGCCCTGTGATCTCGGTACTACCAGAATCGGAACACATAGTGTCGATCAGATATAGAAAATGGGCTATTTATACGGATATTATGGAAAATATTACTAAATATACGGACTATCAGCACCTAACATACCCCTGGAAACCTCAGTGGAGTCAATCTAAAAAGTTAGAAGTTATTTTAACCAAATTTCGATGTCGTGTCCCTCCATTAAACTTTTACTTGCACAGAGCTGGTCTGGCGATATCCCCCCTGTGTCCATTCTGTGAAGAAACGGAAACAATAGAGCATTACTTTATAACATGTAAAAACTATTCATTAATTAGGAAAAGACTTTTAATTGTTCCGTTTCAAGCAGTAGGTTTAAATTTAACTGCAGATAATGTTCTAAGTTTCGGTGCCTTTAGCTTGGGACATTGCCACAGGAGCGTATTCGATGCTGTATGCAATTTCATTCGAGAATCAAAGCGCATGTCATAATAATGCCTGCTTAAATATATTTCTGAAGACACTTGTCTAATTTTGAATGAAATTTGCATATTCATTTGATTGTGACCGGGTGAGATAAGCTCGATTGTCTGGTCTACTCAAAATTTCTGTCTTCCACTGTAGTATTACCTCACCTTTTCTCTTCTTGATTCAATCTTCAATTATTTGTTTAGTTTAATATTCCTTTTTAGTTAATTATTATTTTCTATTACATCATTAGTTTTTTCATTAAGGATAAACCTTTTAATATATCTCATATAGGATACTTCTAGATTTCATGGCCAATCCCCCATAGTGGGTATGTGCCAGTGCGAAGGGGCAACAACAACAACAACGACGTGGCTGGAAGGAAGAAGCAAGGTTGAAGAACCAGGGCGTGGGAGCAGTGATCCGTCGGGTTGCGGACTCGAGGTCTCAGCGGGCTCCCACCTGGGGCCATACCCGCCGTCCTTGCAGCTCGGGCCTGGCGTGGGCGAAACGCCGCCAGGACGTTTCCGCCAGGCGAGTCCGGCACCTACAGCAGCAAGCGCCAGCCAGCGTTCGATAGGCATGGCAAACGCCATGCGTGCTCCAGGTCAACGACCTGCGCAGTGAGCCGCGTTCTTGGCCGCGGCTGTCATTGGACTCACCAGGCTACCCAAGCGTCGACAGTCCCTTCCTAGCGTTGAGTTTGCCGCCGGGACTTGATCACCGCCTTCCTCTCCGATGAACTCTTTCTGTTTTATGCCCTTGTGACTTTCACACCAGCATTCCAAGCATGTTATATTTTTTCTCTTACTTCAATTATTATTGGACCTTTCATGTCTTTTGTAAATACATTTTTTTGGGGTGATTGCATAAACGGCATCGTTACTGCCCGATGACGATTGAGTCATCGCACGTTTTCGTACAGAAACACGAGCGTCTCGTCTAGAGCTTTGTCTCTCTACAGCTCGTTACAGTGACACAGTCGTAGCGAAGTTCACTGCACTAATAAATCATATTTAGTTCACTACAATCGCAAATACTTACTTGATTTAGGTGCTCCAGCGTGAAATCTTCACTTTTTGAACATAAACTTTGCCTTCTCGGTGTCACAGCTGCGGAGAAACTCAGGGGAAACAGTAAAACATTCACAACGCCATTTAGTCGCTTCTGCGGTTTCCGAAAAAAAAAAAAAAAATCGTCTGCTACTTGAGTCGTCTGCTGCGGCTGAACTCCGTGGCACGCCTGGTGGCGATTATTGTATTTGCGTCTACTTTCGTGTGCATCTTTGTGTCTTTTTGTGTGCTGCATCATAATACATTATGGCTTACCAACTAGCCCATCAGTACATTTTAAGGCAAAGCTACAGTGTACTAGAACCCTCTTCTAGTACATTCGCTCGGAGGATTTCAAGCTGGACGGTTGTGCCCTCGCGATCTCCGACTTCAGCGTAGCTCCCGCCGACTGGTTCGCCCTCCGCGGTCTCCTGATGGCGTGCAGCTCTCGCATTGTGGCACCCCGCCCTTGGACTGCTTCGACCGGATCCCCACTTTCCTATCTCCTTCTTTTTTCCTCTCGTTGGCTGGCGGCTTCTTCTCCGTCTATTTTCCTTCTATTCTTTTTATCCCTCCTTCCTTCTCCCTATATCTTTTATTCCCCATATCCCATTCCTCTGCTGACCTGTTGAGGTGTCCTCGTAAGGAGAGACAGTTACGGGTCGGCACCTTTCCTTTTCTTTTCTTCTGATATAACCACTTATATATTCTAGTACACTGTAGCAAAGCCTTTAAGATTAGCAAGCGCCTTGGTTGTCAATCTTAAAGGCTGAGTACAAAAACCCTTAGTCCTACGTAGGTAGCGTCGCCATAGATGACGGGCGTTTCGCGCTCATCCGGCAGGCAAGAAAAGTATAGGAGGCTATGCTGACACCTGACAACACAGGCCCTTCGGATAAGAGGGGGCCTTCGGCAAAGCGGATGTCACGTGACTTTGTTGTCCACATCTGAACATGGCGATGTTTACGTTATCGCACTGATCAAGCCGTGCGGAAGCAGTAGCGTCCAATTCTCGCGTGTGGACGTAGTGCTGGAGCGCTATGCAGCAAGAGCCCGCGAGAAACAGACCAGTCAAGAAGAAAAAAATTCGAGCATGGACCGAAGCGGCACGAATTGTGAGTGATTTCCCGTTAGGCCTAGTCGGCTGCTCGAGTTGTCAGGGCTCGTTTCACCTGCTCTCGCGAATGAATTCACGTCAACCGCTCTCGGCGCGTTCTCCCATCGCAGTTTTCTGACTTTACGAACGCTACCAAAGTGCATCGGTATAGCTGCTGTGCTAGCGTGGGCAGTGCCACGCCACAGATCGGCTGTGCATGTTCGTACAACTACAGGGGCTGATAACCTTATAAAGCCAGTTTGGGGCTTCCGCAAAATTGCACGACAGCTGAGATCTGTTCCGGGGACATCGGCGGCGCATGGCATGCTTTCGCTGTCACTTTTCGGGGTGTTTCACCGGTGAGTTGTGTACTCTGTCACAATCGGACAACTCTGCGGTCCTGCGGGATGCCGGAAGGTTAAAATGCGACACGCGTGGAAGCATGATGATGGATGGTAGCGCAGACAACGAACACGGACAAGAGAAGGCACACATTGTCCGTGTTCGTTGTCTGCGCTACCATCCATCATCATGCAACCATACCAACAAGCCCAAATCGCCACCCTCATTCGCGTGGAAGAGTTCCATTGAATACTAGAACACTTGACACGCCTCTCAATGCACAACATCGACGAAATTTCACTTTCACAGAGTGTTGAATTGCGGCCACTTCGACTCATATTTGCGTAGGTATTGGAGCTACACCCCCAGACTCCGATGTCTCACAAGGAGATCTTCTCTAGAATTTGCTCCCGAGGGCTAAAGGATGCGAGGTGAGAGTGATCTACTGATTCCATTGAAAAATAAAGTCTTGTGTGTGCTTGGAATCTCGTTGGGCTTGATGGCTTAAAGCATTTCGTTAACCTGCGTAAACAAATAAAGAAATAAAATCACGTAAGAAACCGGCCTCGGATTAGTGTTTTGTTATTGTGTGTGTTGTCGTTTGCGCACGTGTTGGGCATTCTGATTTTGCCCACTCTGAATCTTGAAGCTTGCGTTATTGTGGCCTATACTTTTCGTAACACCTTGGAAAGAGACTGTTCACTCGGACAAGGATAGGTTAGGTGCTCACATGCCTCGTCTTTTAAAATTTTGATGTTAGGCCGTTAGCTTTAGCAAACTTGACGTATCTTTCAATGAACAGTGTTTTCAGATCCACCCAAGCTTTGTTGCTGCTAACTTTTTGAGTTCTTGTTGTTGTGTTGTGATGTGCCAAGGTCCATCATAGCCATTTAAAGCCAGAAAAAAGGCATACAAAAATTAGTTTTTTTTAATAAAAAATGAAAGAGAAGGGTGGGGGTGGAAGAAGTCATAATCCTGTATTGTAAATACCAAATGGTTGCTTAACAAACAAAGAAGAGAGATGAGAAGCGATACAATAACAAGGAAGAGATGCGAGAAGCAGTGTTAATTTAGAAATTTCTGGAAGTTGCCTTGCACACATTTGCCTCATGGTGCGAGTTTGTATGAGCATATATTTGTTCTTTGTTGAGGCATATGTATTGAGGCCTATGCATCTAAGTGTGCTCATTGTAATAACCTTTGCTTATTTGAATGCATCTACCGAGTCATTTTGTAAATTAGGCGCGTGATTTGGCACACAAGCATAAACAAGTTTGTACAGTGTGTTTCTCATCACAGCCCTTCATGACACTGTGAGAGAGCTAAATATACATTTGCTGGAATGCTAGCCTCGTTGTAGGCTAACCCAATTCCATATTTCTCAAGTTGCAGTCAGCAACAAGTAAGAAATTCACGGCAAACAACTCTCACAAAAGTTTGCATGATAGTTTACTGGGCACTGCCTTGTCGTCCTCTTGCATGACTGCAAAGTAGTTCTTTTAGGGCTGAAATGGCATGCGGAGGAAGTTCTGAAAGGTTAGCCATTAAGGAACATTTCATGGTTCCCCATCGTGGTAGTAGTTATCGTGCAGTATGCGAGCGGCGCTGGAAATCAGCTCACAGAAGTGAGTAAGACGTCCCTTTGAGGACAAACAACAACTGACTTTATTTCTGTGATTGTACAGCCTCTACTGCTCGGTCGCGCACCCTTTCTCACACAACATGATTAATTTCACTGAGAAACATGGGAAATAGTGTCTAGCTGCTGCTGTATGACCGTGAGGCCAGCACATAGTAGACACTGTTGGGCTAGTTGGTACATGTCTGGATTCAATGGTCAACTTTGCGTCAAAATCACGACCACACTAAAATATGATGAAACACAAAGACAGGACAATCGCTCCAATAGACCTGTCTATGTGTTCTTGGTATTTCAGTGTAGTCGTGGTTTTTGGATGCAGTTGACTATTAAATTCATCGTTGTAGTTTGGCAATTAGGGTGTCATGTGTTAAGCTTACGGACGCAGGTTCTGTTCCCAACCACAGTACCTGCATTTTGAGTGGACTCAATGCAGAAACAGTTCTTAGATTTGAATTAACATTAAAGAGCCTCAGATGGTCAAAATTAATCCGTAATATCCTGCAATATGATGTTCTGCATTCTGGTTTTGGAACGTAGAACCTTATAAACACTGCTAGTACACAAAAGCATGTTTTTTTGAATTCCACTTACCTTATACTGAGCAAAAATGAGCTCAAGATGAAGAACAGTAAAGATACTTATCGTTTGAATGTGATGCAATTATTTAAACCCTTTAACTACTTTGAGAGAGAGAGAGAAAAAAGAACAGCAAAAATTGCCCAAAAAACTTTTGCGCTCAATTTGTAAAGTTATTTTTTTTTCCGAGTAAAATGTCACCAGTCTTTCAATTCAGTACGGTTTCTTTATTGCAATTATTGTACACACACACACAAAAAAAAGAAAACATGAAGCTAGCTTTACCGCTAGGCAATACAATGAGAAATGGCACTAAGACGAAAGCCAAGACACAAATGGCCTAACATGGGCAAGCGTGGCCATCTAGCATTAAGAAACATAAGTGTCACGAGTGTAGTTTACCCTTGGTTTCGTGTGGGACCAGCTTTTGTTGATGATTGTGGTCATCATAGGTCATTTTTACAAAATCTCTTGGCAACCATACTTATCAACGGTAGGGAAAGGGCTAACACATTTGTTGTAATACCTGCAACCTGAAAATTTTAGTAGTACACACCAAGTATGTTGAATGAGTTGCTAGATATGTGTGTTTGCTATGACGTGTTGTCAGTAGCAGCTGCTCTTAATTTGGACGGTAGTGATAGGAACCGTGCAGATTTCTGAAGTTTCCTGCGGCTGTTACAGCTACAATTATGTAAAATGGCTGCGAATAGTTTTTACCTTAAGCTCCTTTTTAGAGTTCAGTCATCTTTGAGAAGCTACCATGGCAGTGTACGGCAGCAGTGTTGTATTGTTAAGTTCATAGGTTCGATCCCCACTGTGGTGGCCCTATTTTGATGGTGTTGATGCCAGAATGTGTACATATACATATAGGTGCATGTTGAAGGAACCTTTGTGGGTTAGAATTAATCTGAGGACTTCCCATCAGTCGATCAGCCTGTCTTGTAGAGCGTTACCCTTGAGAATAGTGTAGGTTCCGTTTTAGCTGGCCTGTGCCCGGCTGGGCGCTGCAGCACCCACTGTCGATCATTAGAACGTGGGCATGGCAAATGCTACATCAGACAAGTGTGATGCTGATCACTAAAACGGGATCCTAATGTAATAGGGTTAAAGAGATAATTTCTCAGAATTGGTAGTGAGCGAAAAATCAGCGTTGTTTGTGAATGAAAATTTTAAATAGATGCAAAAAATCAATAAAAATTGGGGCATCCTTAAGCTTTGCCTTTGCGAGTTGAACGATAGTCATATGCAATCCCTAGTTCAATCACTTAGTGCATACTTTTTATTGCATGATGTTACTCGAGAAGTTTTAATTGTGGATTACTACAATGTAATCTCTAAAGTTGAAAGTGGCTTGTTTCAGTGAAGCTTTTGCTTATGGCTGCATTCTGTATAATAAGTATGCAGGACGCTTGTCTTTACTGTAAAGCATGAAAGTTATTTTTACTGCATTTGCAAGCAGAGGAACCTATGTTCACCATGAAATGGGGTGTAGTGTTGCTCTTCCTCCTTACAACTGTATTTCCGAGCAGATGTGTGGCTGGGTTCGATCCTCATTAGGATTCATACATTTTTATTGTTTATTTTATTTGCATCTTTTTCTATTTTTCGGTCATGGACAAGATGATGATTTTTCGCTCACAACCAACGGCGCCGACACTGGAGCTTCTGTGAAATGAGTTCTTTAATGCTGTTTCGTTAAAGGGTCAGTCAACAGGCTGCAAATTTTTTTTTTACACCCCCTAAACAAGCTCCATAATTCGTATAGTAGACCGCAGCGATCACGTTTTCTGAATATTGCAGTGCTGCGTGCCGCGCACAGCCTCCATTTTGAAAAACAATTCCCGCGCTCCTTTCCTACGCCTGACCAATCTATCTCCTTGCACGTGCAGTGACGACAACTCTGTGATCGACGACGTGACGCAACTCGATGATTGGTCTAAGCCAGGTCTCAACGAACAGTAGTGAAGTCAATAACAGTTCCTGTTCCCACCCACAGATATGACAGAGCTATTCAATCACACGAGTGGCAAAACTTCCCATAGGCTCCATGCATCAAAATCCGGACACTTCACTGACCTAGTCTTTGGGAGTGAGCAGATTGTTGCACCACCTGTTGATAGACGTACCTACTGTTAAGCGCATTATTTGTGTTTTGTGTTGGTGCTCCCAGATGGCATGGCAGTCTGTTTCCAAAAAATTGAACTTCAGAAAAATCGGCCCAACTTCATGTCCGTGTCCTGGAACGCAGCTTTGCTGCAAATCGTTGTCGGCGGCAAATCGAGCGACTGGGCTGCGGAGAAGCATCGGCACTGGGTAAACGGAAAACAACCAGGCATCGCAGCAAGCGGACGCGCATTGTGATTGATCGAGTTCGCCAATGACGTCAATCGCTGACGTCTTGTCACATTGCTGAAGTGGGCGGAGTCATGGCGACGGGCCATGCCTTCCCCTTCCTCTGAAGGAGAAGGGTGGCAAGATCGTGCGAAAATTTGAAACCAGCTGAACGCGATGTTCTAGCCCCTGTAACTTCTTTAATATAGCATGTATAAGCAAAATTCTTGCGACAGCATGTTCAGGAAGTAAAAGTGCACATATTTCTCTTTACAACAACTTTTGGACCTTGGTGTTGTTTGCTGGCCCTTTTAACAATATGAAAAATATTTGCATCGAGTGGAAATTAAACCTAGGTCTTTTGTATGGCAAGTCGAGGTTGTATTCTGAAATGATCGCAAAAGGTGACAATTGCAAAAGTGTCACCTTCCGTGTGTGCTGGTTGCCTGTTGAGCAAAACCAGAAAAGCGAGGGTGCCGTCCTAGTATTTTCGTTGACGGGACGGTGGTCTTCGGTGATCCTGACATGCCTGGAATAAACGAACACGCCTTATCGTCAGTTCGTGATCAAGTCTAGCATTTCAGTGACGTAGATGGTAGCTTCAAAATTTTCTACCCTCGAGGATGTGCGCTGCATTTTTATGTGGAAGCTTTCAACGAGCACTCCCCTAGGTGTGTTTTCAGCAAATGCTGTTCTACCAGCGTGTGTTGTGGGAGGTTTGAACATGCTGTGATGATGTTTATTCGAGCGGAGAAGTCGCAACGAGGTTGCAACAAAAAATGGACGTACGACAAGTCTGGCAAAGGCGGCACAGGCTCTCGCGCAATCAGAGCACGGGGCTTTTTCGTTATCTTCCGAAGGCGCATACGCGTTGGTGCA